AAAGTAGAGTTCTTATTTTGTGCGGCTGCGTTATCAGAAAATAAATACAGTATTTTAACTGTGCTTGGTAATATGTTATCTATGTAGTGATTTATAAAAGATATGACTTCGTTTGGGGATTTTCTAGCTACAGTTTCGTCATATAAATAAAAGTGAGCCATTCCTGTTTTCGCTGAGTGTATACAAAAATTATATGCCCAAAGTTGACGTTTATAGAATGCTTCACCTGCTGGAATTTTGGGCAATGGCATATTCTGCTGATAATCAAATGTTAATACCTCGCACTCTTCATTAGAAACAGCAAGTTGACTCTTCTCTTTTAAATCAACAAAAAAAGTGTCGGCCTTGGTTTGGTGGAGACTCTTCTCTATCTGTATTTGTTGTGTTTCATCGCTATTCAAAGTCTTATCTTTTAATTTGTTATCCAGCATGTCGCATTTCTTGCGTGTGTCTGAGCGAGGTGATCCAAAACTGTATTTAAAATTTTGCTTAAAGTATCTGTAATAAAAATCAAATGATACTACAGGCTTAGCAGATGCTTCCAGACCAGGCTCATGCTTTTTCAAATATAAATCGTACATCCTTTTAATATTCAACTCTGGAGATAGATAATAACGAGAGCTTTTATTTCTGCTGTAGTGTGACTCGCGACGAGGAAAACTTCTAATATGAGAATCAACTTTGGAAACCCATTCACTTGGAATACGATTTGGTCTATTTTGATGTTTCCCACGCTTAGACTTAGCTGGTATAGTTACATTAGGGTCTCGATACTCTTTAGCAATATTGTCTACACGCTTTTTGGATATTCCATGGATAGATGCAAAGCCATTTCTGCAAACTTGTATATTTCTATTTCCTAATTTAATATAATACTTGTGTGAACAGCTCCGTTTATTCCCCGTACCACTTTTAGATCTTTCCCTTACAACATTCTCAGTTTTAATTAAACCACCTAAGTATACGTTTTGCACATAGGCTTCTTCCAATTTATTAAAATTTTCCAATATTAATTTCCTATCTCCTTCATTAATTTGAACAAAACACTTATACTTCTTGCAACAACAATTCGATCCAGTTTTTCTTTCGCCTATTTCACGGCCTTTATAGTTTAAATAGCCTTTTCCAGTAGCAATAGACTTCCGAATTACATTCCGTTTCCATTCTGAAGGATTCGCAGATTTTCTTTTTTTCGGGGCTAGGCCACTCGTCGATGGGCATGGATTATTTATATTAAATTCATCCGAAATATTCATACCTTGATCCTTGTCCTCATTAGTTTGGTTTTGAAATGTTGACAAACCAAGTTGGCTTCCATCATCATCTGAACTGGTTGAAGTGGAGTTGTAGACAGGTGGCTGGTAAATATCAGACGAGCCGCTACTGAATGGTTAAGAGTTACTCATTTTATGCACACTTGACGTATTAAACGTAAAACAATTAAATAATAGATAAAACGCACGTCCTTTTAGGCCGAGAACAAAACGTGCACTGACTTGTTATAAATGACGCAATAATTTCATTTGTTGCAAGAAAGAGGCAGGTCCGGACCTGCTCCTTTCTTGCATCAAACGGAATAAGGTAGCAGATCCAAATTTTGTTTTAGCGCGCTTGTTTTTCGACGGATTTGTCTCGTTCATGCAGCAAACGAAAGCTGCAATTTTTGTTAAAATTGTAGGTGAAAAAAAAAGTAACGGCAAAAATTTGGATCTGCCCCCCTTTTACTGCAAGGTCCTCAATTACTAAACGTAACCACCCCCGTTCAATTTAAGCCTAGACTTCTTTTATGAAGATGATAATTACATTGGAAAAATTTCACTTTAGATAGATAAAACTATTTAAAAACTTTTTTATCTCTCTGGTGTTCTTCTAAAACTTAATAATTTCTGAGAAAAAAAACTGTTAAGCTGTAAGGTTGTTAATCGAAAATTGGAATGAATTTTAAATAAAAAAATCTTAGTAGTCATTGCAATTTTTGTCAGAAATATTTTTGACGTATAAATCAGTGTTTTTCTTACTATTATGTTTGATTGTTTTTAATTAATTTTTGAATAAAGTTCTATCGCATTTACGCTCGTTCACTCGACGTTTCAAAATTTTAAATGAAACAATAATAATAGTAAGAAAAACAACCGGTGTGAAGACAGCAGTAAAAGATAGCAGTAAATATTTCCGATGATACCCGAACGCCCATAGACGTCCGTAATACCGGACACACGGGGGTTCAATTTTTTCGAACAAAGTAACATTACATTATCAACTTAAGAAGTTAATTACAGTATATTAAAAGTAATTAGACAAAATTAAAATATATTTATCACTAATATCAAGGTACAATCAGCAATTTGAATTAAAATAACTGGCTCCAGCTCCCTTATTGGTTCAAAGATGCGAACCAAACTTTATATACGCCTTCTAGACATGATAAGAAATATATTGATCGAAAGAAATTCCACTTGCATAGGGACCGAGGAGAACTACCCACCAGTAGATTTTAATTACCCATACCGCTCTTATTCGGTCGAAGATCCGAACCAAACTTTACACAAATCATCTAGACTACATTAAAATCAAATATCCGTAAACAATTTTCACTTGCATAGGGACCGCGGGGGTGAACTACACACCAGTAAATTTTAATTACCCCTACCGCCCTTATTTGGTGGAAGATCCGAACCAAACTTTACACACAATCATCTAGACTACATTAGCATCAAATATCCGTAAACAATTTTCACTGCATATTGATCGCGGGGGTGAGCTACCCACCAGTAGATTTTAATTACCAATACGAAGGGGGGCGTTAGCACAAATGATCAAATGTCTCAAAACTATATAGTTACTAGAAAAACCAGGAGGTCGACTTTATTCTGTTTTTTTTCAACAATAAACATGGCAGGAATAAATGGTCACATTTTGTACAGTTTTAGCGACAAAACAAAAGCAAAGCCGCAAATTAGAAAAGATTTTCTAATAAATTTGGCATTGAAGATAATGAACGGATTATATAACTGGGATATATTTCTCAAAAAGGAAAGCTCCAAGAACCAACAGACACTCCATCGACATCGCAGCAAACAGAGCCACATTCAAGAAAAATCAAAGGACGATGCCAATTATGTGGTAGGGCTAAAAATAATTATACAACAAAAACATATGATGGGTGCTGTGGATTTATGTGCAGGAAGCATCTGATCATAAAACAAGTTTGCCTCAAATGTAATGATCCCAATAAATCAGATGACTCATAATATAAATTTTTTTTTAACTATTTTAGAATGTCTTTTTTATTTTATAGTGTCTTGCGAATGAGTTAGTTAATGTGTTTGTTCTATTTATTTGAACTCTTTTTCAGTAAAATACAAGAACACTCTTGTAGTTTTTTCTTGTTTTTTTTTGTTTGTCTTAGATTTTCTTATTCATTCGTATAATATTGTGATATGTTCATTTGTTTTTCATATTTAACGGCGTCCGTTTCCGTAAAACTATTATATGAGCTATTTTGACGTACAACTATAACATTCTAAATAAGAATTAAAGAATACAGTAACCGGCTTCTTAAAAAAAATAGAATACCAGTAGTGGAATAAAATACGCCGACGGGCGGGTTTGATTTTTCAAACTTAACGCGCGGGACTGAGGGTTAATCAAATGTATAAAAAGAGTCACTGCGAGTAATCAATCTGAATGAGAGCTTTTTAGAACTTTTATCTTAAAATATCGTTATGTCCGACGATATATCTAATTTTGGTTAATTTTGTATGTTTAGTGATTTAATAAGCACAAAGTACTACTATTTTATAAAATAATATACAGAGTGCCCATTATGTATGGAATATAGTATACGGGTTGTCCGGTATCTTCCGCATCAGAGCATTATACGGTTGTAGGATACATTATTCTGAAGCGATCTTTCTAATAAAATTTTTTCGAAATGTTTATAATAACCGCACAGGAACTGTTTAAACGAACTGTTTTTCGTCCAATCAGTAGATCGCAAATCAGACTCAGGTAATCGGTGCCACCCTCGGCCGGTCTGCTACGCCGATGATAACTTGTTTCCCACGTGTACTCACCAATAGATTCGTCACGGGAAGAGAAATAAACTTTTTCGGTGAATCAAACTCGTCCGCTGTTGGACAAAAGCGGATAACTTTAAACTGTTCCCGTGCGGTTATTATAAACATTTCGAAGAAATGTTATTAGAAAGATCGCTTCAGAATAATGTATCCTACAATCGTATAATGCTCTGATGCGGAAGATACCGGACACCCCCTGTATATCTTGGTAGGTATCAACTTTATAAAAAAACATTTTATACAAAAGTTGTTTAATATTTTATTTGCCATAATAAGACAGCATTCAATTGTTTTTATTTCAGAAAACAAATAAGCAACGAATTACACTTGAAGTTTTTTAAATGGCAATTTAGGCCTTTCGTTAGGCTCATTTGATAGAGATTTTTTTTCTCTTTACGATAACATAAAATTTGAGTACCCTCATATCAGAAAATTTTTGAAAAAAATGTAAAAGTTGTTTATTAAGAAAATTAGCTAATAACATTAATCTAGAATCCGAGATCGTCAAATACCTCGCAGTACCTCGAATGATTGGAGATGTACACTAATTTTTCCTTTATTTATTTTATTTTGTATGTAATAGTTATTTATATTACAAGTGGGCTAGAAACATAATTACAGTACGAGTGCGGAGAATTAGCCAAGTGGCGTATAAAAGTGTGGAGAATTATTAGAAGTGCAAAGTTGTATAAATCAGACGGCACTAAATAACTTTCAAAAAAATAAATACTTAATTGTTTTTTAGTGTTTATATTCTGTTATTATTATTTTAATTAAAAATATATATTTTATGCGTACTGCGCTTTCTTGGCAGAGCCGCTTAATTGGGACAAGTTAAGCGGAATCGACTGTATTTCATGCTGTTCGACATCTATTATTCATAACATTTTTTTCTTATAATTCTGTATATAATAAAAAAAATTTAACCTTTTAGAAACTTTATTTTAAAAATATACATTCTTAATATGCAATATAATAAAATCTCTTCAAAAACGTTCTATATCATTGACATGCCTCCTTACTTATTTTACATATTCTTCTACATATTTATTTTTTTTTTGGTCATCATACAATACACCTAAATAATAAATTATTATAACATAGAGATTCGCTATATTGTTTATATTTCTTCTAGGTAAAATCATTTTTATCAAATTCTCTATGATTGTTCTATCCTACGATTTTCTTTTGGAGAGTAACAAAATATATTTTTAAGGACGCTAAACATTAATAATTCACTTTTCCAGTTTGTTCGCTCTTTTACCTTAAAAAAATAGTGTATATATATATATATATATATGTAAATATATACACATCTCTTTAAAATATAAAATTATATCACAATGCTTTTCAATACTCGATTATACACGCAACGTCAGTTATCACGATCAATTCATTTAATTATTTTGTTTTTTTGTATTACATTTAATTGTCTTATATCAGACATAAACTTCTCGTTTATCCTTGGTACTTTGAGATGTAGTAGATGTTTTCCTTAATCTATCATCAGATGTCGTGCTAATGGTATTAGTAACTGCATTTGAAGCACTCAGTACATCTCCATTTGGAGGTGTTAAAGACGATAAAGTATTATTGGATACTTTTTTTGTGACCTCTAAACTGTTTTTGGAGGAAATAGATGCCGTGGATCCTTGGGATTCTTTGCTTTCTTTAGAAACATTCGATCCCTCGGATTTTTTTGAAGAATTACTACTCCTACTGCTTACGTGTTGTTCACCTTCTTCGTCTGATTGGACTTCCAATAATTTAATGTGCGTTTCTGGTGGTGTACTCGGTTTTGAATGACCGAAAGCTTGTATAAAAGCTGGATTACTTTTTTCCAAAGTATGTCTGGTTAGAAGAGGACTTTTTCCAATTTGAGCCAATCCTAATGTGGACAGTTGAGGAACGGTAATAGGAACTCCAACAGGGCCAGTAAGAACTGGTCCTAAACCTGGAGATAAAACCGCTTGAGCTAAAGCTGCAGTACCAGGTTGTCCTGGTAAAAGGGTTGTATTCACAGAACTGCTACTATCCAATTCTTGGATAGGGGATAAAACTACTTGGACTAGAGGACCATCACTGTCCGGATAGTTTAAGTAGTTTGTTTGAAATTGATGCGGTGTTAAAGTTACACCAGAAGACATTGAGTTGTGCAAGATTGTATTGCTGTTTGGAAGACGATGATGATTGTCTTTGTCAACGTCTTTTGTTACTTCTGGGGTTGGAATTCTTGGACGACTTTTAACTATAACGAAAACATAATGTCAAATAAGTGAAAAGCATATGTATATACACATGTTATTAAATTATTATTATTATTTATGGCCACGTTTACCATCTTCCTGATTAGCAAGAGATAGTAAAAGTTTCATAAAAATGTTATTATTCTATGGAAAAATTTTGAGTAAAAATAATTTTGGCGAGGTAGAATTATAACCAAAAAGTAATCATAAACAGTAATTACGGGATTACCGACAAACGAATAGAGTAAAATTGTCATTAATATCATCAATTCGTTCAATAACATTTAATAACTCATAAATATTTCCAAAGCTATGTATAATTTCATTACACCATGCCTAATTCATTAATCATTTATGACACGCGGAAAACTCACCACTGTTGAAATCACAAATATCCAAATAATAAATCACATTTTATTCCGATAAAAAATTCGAATAAAAACCACAAGGTTGCGGTTCAAACTGGCAACTTAAAAAACTATGAATCACGAAATATATTACAATAATGAGATGACTGTCAACAATTGCGAAAAGATACCGATATTAAATTGTGAACCCACCTTTTGTAGCATGTCGTTGGTTTTTCCCAGTTAATTTGTCGTAAATAGACGTTTTTTGCGGAGGTACACCCGGAAGCCCTGCCTCAGGACTTGCGTACACTGAATTCCCCCTGTGCCTACCGAAAAGGCCTCCCGATGAGTAAGCCGTCGACGCCGATCTTACTGAACCCAAGCGGGTTCTTGAAATCTGTCTGGTGAACCAATTCGAACTTTTTCGCCTTTCAACTATTGGTGTGTCAACACTTTCCTGAGAATACAAAATAACAATTTGAAAATTTTATATAACTAGTTAAAATGTATAAAAAAGATACTTACATAATCAGCATACATGTCATTATCTACTTTTCGTGTGGTTCCAATTAAATTTGCGTACAAAGCATCTTGCGCTTTAACTTTATAGTTTTCAGCTGAACCTTTAGGTTCTTCCCTTCTGTAATGTTCAGAAGCTACTGTGTATGGTAATTCTTTCGGAACTACTTCATCCCAATATTGATCTTTTAGTAATTCGGGATGTTCTTGATGCATTTCGTCTACTATCATGTAACTAGCCTACAATTATAACGATTTTAAGAAACCTTACAATAATATATAACACTATAAATTAAAAGTTTCCACTATAGTTATTTCTTTTACATTGCCTCTTCACCATCATGTAAGCAAAAGAACAAATAACAATAAACGAATACCAACGAATTTTGCCATTTTCTGTACGATTTTGATAAATTCCCTAATAACTTTAGCAAATAGGATGTATAACGTTATACTACTACTAAATTCTCTAACTAATAGAGTAACGAAATATAGGGTACTCTATATAAAATTATCTAATTTTCTGCAATTAAGCATGGTAAAACGATGATTACATTTTTGAACGGCCTGTATAACACAGACCGATATAACTAACGACACAATACATACCTAAGTTGCAACCATGCCAATTACTTATTAAAAAGCGGTTAAACTAAAATAACTCATAAACTAAAAGTATCAAATATCAACAATCCTTATCGATGTCAATATATTTTTATAGAGCGAATCATAATATACATATGTATAATAAAAACAATACCATTCCAATTAAAATAACAGAGTTGTCTACTATAGACCGAAAGTGGCGATAATTTTGAAAATATATTCGATCGAAATATCAAGTTAAGCCATAATATACAAGTGCCCATTATGTATGGAATAGAGTATATATCTTGGTAGGTATCAACATTATAAAAAAACATTTTATACAAAAGCTGTTTAATATTTTATTTGCCATAATAAGACTGTATTCAATTGTTTCTAATTCAGAAAACAAATGAGTAACGAATAACACTTGATTTTTTTAAATGGCAATGCACCCTTTCGTTTTTTTCGTTATTAACCAAAACGAATATAAGACAAAAAATTCTAAGTTTATTAAATAGACTATCGGGCGAAAACAAAGAAAACCTACCGAGTACATAACATGAACAAAAATATTTAACTAGTACATCAAGTGAATAAGAATAAATATCGCTATTAACGAAAAATTATCATCTGCTCCACTAATTTCCAAAAGTATCACTTTGGAAGAAGCAGTCATCTTCAAAAAATTTATGACTACATAATCACCATTCCTCCAACAAGCGTGGAATCAGAGAAGGTTTTCTCATCAGTCCAAAGTTTTTGTACAACAATCCGTTGTAAACTTAATGATATGATAATACATTAGAAAACCTATGTATTTGAAGAGCACATTTTAATAAGTCGTATTACAAATAAGTATTTTGTATTAAGCATTTGCACTACGACTTATTGATATATATAATAAATAATTATTTATTTATTTTACATTTTTATAATAAATTTATTATCAAATTTCGTTTCATTCATTATTTTACCTCTAGATTTTTAGCATCTTTATATTTTTTTCCAATACCGGTATCACATTGAAAATATACCGAAATACCGGTATTCAATTTTCGGTTGGTATTCCGAACCCTACCTGCGCGCGTTGCTACGCCACCAACTAAAATAAATTTGAAGGAAAGACATTACGCAAATATTCAATTAATTTTGAGTCATTTTCTTAATTTCGAGAATTGTCGAAAATTGGTCGTACCAACTTAGAAACCTTCGTGGGCTCATGCACAACAACTTTGCTAAAGATCATCACATGATCAAATGCATAGTTTACGATTCTATAAAGGACATACTGACAAACATTCATTTTTATAGATATAGATAGAATAAAAAGCCCCATAAGAAATTTCAAGGTAACCCAACCCAACCCTGCATTGGATGGACTCGACGTCATCATCCTACAAGAGATGAGAAGTTCATACAATTTTTGTAGCTTTAGTCCATCTGAACTGGACATAGGCTTGCTTATAAAGAACTAGCTGTACCCTGCGCGCGTTGCTACGCCACCAACTAAAATAAATTTGAAGGAAAGACATTACGCAAATATTCAATTAATTTTGAGTCATTTTCTTGATTTCGAGAATTGTCGAAAATTGGTCGTACCAACTTAGAAACCTTCGTGGACTCATGCACAACAACTTTGCTAAAGATGGAGGACATACTGACAAACATTCATTTTTATAGATATAGATAGAATAAAAAGCCCCATAAGAAATTTCAAGGTAACCCAACCCAACCCTGCATTATGAACGCTGAGGCTGAAAGGAAGATTCATTAATTGTAGTCTCATATGCGCACATGCTCCCACGGAATAAAAGAAGAAGGATGAAAAGGAATCATTTTACAAAGAACTAGAATCTGCCTGCCCATGATAATCCCAGGGGACCATAACGCTACAATAAGAAGAAGAACCAATACCTAGGTATAACAGGAAAACACAGTCTAGTCTACACACGAAATCCAATAGTATTGATGACACTAAACTAATAACTATCTATTAGTCATAGACGGCCTCCCTTAATATGATCATTGAAAGTACATACTTTGAGCGCAAGGACATCTACAAAGGAATGTGGGTATCCCTAGAATACCCATAATAGAGATCAGAAGTAGAAGAGTTGCTAACACAACTTTGGCCACTACCTTGTAGTGAGTACAGTTAGACCGAGAATTGAGAATATCAAATAAGCAAAAAAATCGAGAAATTGAACCTACAGAACCTCAAAGATCACAGCAGACATACAGCGTACAACGGAAACATAAATCGGAAGCTTGGAAATAGACCAAACAGCGAAAATGCTGCAAGTGGAACACATGTAGAAATATTATCTGTGAGGTCGCAGAAGAACTCGAGAATTTGAAAGCAAACCAGCGAGCAATTCAATAGACTGCTTTGACAAATAATGCATTAAAGTAACGCTAATAAAAGTTTTGTATAGGAATCAAGCCTATAGCACGGAGAGGGAGATGAAAAGAGGACTCATAAACGGAAAAAGCGAGAGGCTATGAACGGTAAATTGGAACGGAATGAAAGAAACTAGGAGTACAGTCGCACACGAGGAAATTCTACCAAATTCTAAATAGTAAAGAATTTCAACCTAGGACAACAATGTGCAGGGACAAAGAGAGACGAATTATGACGGAACAAGGCGAAATACTGAAAATATGGATGGTTTAGTATGAAGGAAAACTAGGAACAAACCAAGAATAATAGAGCGAAAAGGTTTTACCGAACTAACCAGAGAAAAAGAACCGTCGACATATAGTGAAATAATAGCAACAATAAGCAAACTAGAAATCAACAGAGCAGCTATATTTGATAAAAACGCCGTGAAACTAATAAAAGAAGGAGGTGAAAGAAAAGAAGGAATAAGCTGATGTAGGCGCTTCATGAACTTGTCACAAACGTATGAATATCTAAACGAATACCTGAGGAATGAAACGTTAGCATAATAGTCCTATTACACAAGAAAAGCGATCGACTCCTGAGTCCCAATTACAATTGGACAATTGCCCTGTTGAAGTTGGCTTACAATAAAACCCTACGCGAAAAAAAAATCGTAGATTGATGATAGTGATATTCTCGAAAAGACAAAAGAATTTATTCGAAACCCGCCATTTGTTTATCGCTTTTTGACAGTGCCTATGTCAGTATCTCCAGGACATTTTTAATGAGAGCCATGGTGGAGTTTGAAATACCTACACACCTAATTCTACTACTAGAACAAACACTAAGGGAGGGTGGAAAGTGCAATAAAAATTCTCAATGAAACAACACCAAGATTCAGAATAAATAATGAGTTGCGCCAGGGTGATACTGTATCATGCATACCCTTCAACATGATACTTGAAAAGGTCATACAGGATGCGGGTATTAACACGAGAGCGTACAAAAAAAAGAAGAACTCTTCTATCAAATAAAGCATACTACGGTCTGATGCCCCAATTAAGATCACTACTGACATAAATATTTCTTTGGTTTTTTGGTCAGCTGATATGTATAGAAGTAGTTATGTATAATATATTTTAAAGAAGAGTTGGCACGCATATATCAACACAAATACATTTCCTAAAATTTTTAGCTTCTTAGGTCTTTTCTACGCTTACATTGTCAGTATCCTAGGAAATTTTTAACCTAATGCGTGGCAGTTGCAAAGGGAAAAATCGATATTAATCTTATTGACACTTTTTTTTTCAAAATCATGCTGGACATACAATGGGGCCGTCACCCTCAATCGAATAGAAAGACCGTCTTTCAAAAAATTGATAAACTATGTAAAAATAGAAGGATTGGTAATATTTTCAGATCCTAAAATTGTTTAGTTTTCACGATAATTAATATAAAACCTTTGGTGACGTTTACGAACTTTTCGCGTAAGATCAAAAAGACACAAACGTGCATTGCTTGGATCTTTTCTTCTAGTGCATAACATTCTCGTGGCATCTCGCTCATGCACCTTTATTGATTTTTATTTCAACCAACCACGTACGAAACGACGATGACGTCTCCAAAGTTTTTTAAAATTTTCATTATTTTTTTTTTTTGGAAAACTAAAGCCCAGTTTGAAAAATAAAAAATTATAATACCATCCCTAGGTTATAAAAAAATATGCCATAGATAGCATATATATAAGCATTGTAGTTGGCTGTGTCTCAGAAAACTATTTTGATATAGATAAATTTGTATTAACTTGACGAACTAGTGAAACACGTTACATGAAAAAGAGAAATTATTCTGTATGGTTTTCGTTGCCTTTTAGAAGCGTCATCAATATCTTACATATACTTTTTTGAGAAGTATGCTATTCTCCACTACAAAATAAATAACTGTTATTTGAAATTTGTTTTTATTTAATGAAAATTACGTACAATAAAGTGCACCCAGGGAACACGGGGAATAACACAATTAATATTAAGTAGGCTAGTAAATATTAAAGTCCCCATAACAGGTAGTAGTTGTTTTAGTATACGTATCTGTCATGGAAAGACATGGAATGATTTAGGTGTATGACGAAGCAGCCAGGGGTTGCAGGAGACTCTTAATTGGTCCTTTCTTTGTTGATGGTACATTAGTGGAGAAAAATGTACAAATTCTCTGATTCACGAACTACCAGTAAAGTAAGCGCCAAATAGGGATTATTAGAATAAGTGATGCATTAAATAGATAGTCCCATTAATTGATCTGCTAGTCTCCCGATCCAACATCTCTTGATTTTCATCTGTGGGGTTACATTAAATAAAGAGTCTACCAAAGATGTGCCAACAACACCGGAAAATATGAGACAAGGAATACCTGATAAATGCAGACAATTAAGTTGAAAAATGTTACGACAAGCCTATACATCTACACAAAATATCGAATACATTTCCCAAACCAAAGGTAAAGGCATTTCGTAAAGTCGATCAACATTTACGTGAAGGCGTACAACAGAACTAAAAGAAAAAAATTAGAAACACGACACAAGAAGGTCCTTTAAATAGTACCTATTAATTTACATCAACGTTAAATGATCCCAGTAATTAGATCGTTCTTGGTACCACGAAAAATCTTTCTTCATCGATATAATGTTTCTAAATTTCACCTACTACTATGAAAACGATAACATACCTCCACTAAATGTTTACATACAATTTTAAACGGGATGAAAGAAGATGGTTACTTCTTCAGACACATTCGTTGCAGCGATGTTTACCAAAGATGGTGTATTAAAACCTTTTGCGTCATTTGGTCAATTTATTCACCTCATCGCATAAAGGTAAATGAATAACTCAATGTACTGGTTAAGGACATCAAGTTAAGGACGACATGCCATGAAATATTTTCCCTAACATAGTTTAGATGTTAGATAGAGCTCCAAGCTGACTTTGCTCATAACCTAAAACAGTTATAGCACGAACACGTTCCAATGAGATTAATTCAGCGACCTTATTATATGCCTTCCGCAATGGGCCGATCCCAATTCTCTAGACTTTTAGTATTTTATTAAAGGGTAAAACTATAACAAGAAGAGGCACTTCAAAACGCTAACAAAGTTAGTGAAAAATAAAAAATATTAAACAATATTCCTTTCTTCGTTGAATTATTGCCTCAACCCTTCAAAACAAACCGAAAATATATATCTCATATACGTTATTGTCATTTAAAAATTCACTTAGAAGGCAGATTGTGTATAAGCACAATCTGAATGCACAATCGCATAGCGCTTATTGCGCCAAAACATGAATAAGACATAACATCGTTTCGCAATGAGTTGTCATTAACAATCATAACGTTGAGGAATATTTGCATATAAAGCAAATGTTGCAACGTCAACAGAATACAGAATTAGAACTTATGCTTTAGTTTAATCTATTTCATTAATAATACCTTAATATGTCGATCTATAAGCCAATTTAATTCAATGTCGTCATCATCCTCTCCAAATGGGTTTATTAACACTTCAGCGACTTTTAACCATCCGACATAAAAGAAAAACTGAAGAGCAGTAAAAAATGGAAAATAAATCACTGGTTCTTCATATTTTCCCATTGGATTTCCTGCTTCTGGTAAATCTGGCAGAAATTGTCTGCCCATTAACGCCGCAATGAAATAGGCGTACAATGCCAAAGTTACAACCTGAAAATGAAAAAAGTAGATTAAATATAAAGTATTAAACAGTCCTTAGATAAACGAGAAAAGCCCAAAGCCTTTGCTCTAAAAGTAACGGTTCTTTGCCCCTGTAATCTAACAAGAACTGGCGGGCCCCACCACGAATATTTCAATACACTACAGCAAGAAGTGACCGGTTTTACTTCGAGGTTGTACTGTCACCTTGAGACTTTACACGGATGGTGGGCTGCAAGAGACGAATACCTTACTATTGTTCGTGAGGAGTAGAAACGCTTACTTTTTTGTTACATAACATTATCACAATTAGCATACGTATTATCAAAATCATAACGAAAAGAAGAAAAATCATGCTTAAAAAAATAAAACAAGTGGTATGCACCTTAATATGCTTCATAGATAAGAATAAATTACACTTTCACTGGCTTCACTGGACTGCATGTACGCGAACGGTTTTGTGAAATAGGAACGTTTAAAAATACAGTTTGTGTACACTTGAGGTAAACGTTACATAAAATATTGTGCACACTTTCTACTCGACGACAATATTTAACTCAAATTAAAGAGATTTCTACGTAAGTTGAATTGGAATGTAATAACATACCTTGACATTGAACATTTTCTTTTTCATGACAAAGTATAACATGTATTAAAAGTAGTATATCAAAAGAAAAAACCTCATTTTTAAAACGTTAGCTATAAAACATTGATTTACATCAATACCTGACGTACGAAAGAAAAAGTTTCAATCGGAACAGCCACTTGCGTTGTTGAATTTGAATTAAGATATTTATAGATACTTCGACTATGAAGGCAGTTCGGAAATTTACTTCTCAAAGAAAGAAAGATTAGTGGAAGATTTTAGTTAATAGTTATGTAATTGTGCATAAGACGTTGCATACCTATAATTCGGGTTAAATTTGAAGCTTTAATTATTCCTTTAAATATTTTTTTTCACAGGTTTGTTATGTGACATATTTTTTTATGGAACTTTATACGAAATAAAAGTAATTGCTTTCATGGAAGAGATTTCATGGACAATGACGTTATTTTTTAACGACGTCCGGATTAAATTTTCCTATAAAAATTCATACCCATGAATTCGTAATTGATTACTTATTTGGATTAATTTATCGTTTTAATTGTAATTAGCTGCATGACTCATTATTATTGTACATATATACAAGCATATCAAACAAAGTGGGGGTAACCTGGACCCATAAAAACTGAATGCACGTGTTATTAAAGTCAAATTGTTTGTTTAGCGGAAAATCAATTTTATTTTGAATCTTCGCCCAACAACTTGTTCACTATTTGAATGCTTAGAGAGCTGTCTGGTTTTAACAAAATTTAAACATATTAAACTTAAATAATTTAAACTTTAATCCTACGTAAAGTAGGGGATATAGGCGATAAAATCATTATAATGGGTTTATAGAAAAATCCCTGCAACGGATCTAAATATTTCAGCTTTTTTCAATTTTTTTGTGTGGATTTAGAAATGTTTCCGTCATAATTAGTTTAATGACGTCATCATTATTTTTTTTCAATTACCAATCCCCATTTATATTACGTAATATAAAAGAAATTTTTAATTTTGAATTTAGTATAGTTAATATTGGCGACATAAAAAAAATTTTTCAAATAATTTACTTCAAGTTTAATTGAAGTGATAAAAATAGCAGTAGCCTTGAGTAATTATGGTAAACAATCATTTTAAGCAATTTCCTAAGTGTCAAATTAATTTATTAAATTGGTAAATTTGTCCTAGCTGGAAAGAATAGAAATTCTGTGTATGATGGGATTTAAGAATCGACCTCAAACTCAAAAAGAAGTAGTTGATCTTTTCAACAACATATCCTAACATATCCTGATCGCCAATCCATTAGCCAAAATACGATAAGCTGAGTTGTAACTAAATTTAAAAATCATGAACATGTACAAGATCTCTCGAAATCTGGCCGACCAAATTCAGGGGAAGTTTAACAAAACGTGGTTTGGCTGTGCAAGAATCTGGCCATTAATAAATCGCAAAATATCATCCCTATAAAGAAAACCTCTTTCAGGACCTCAATGAAGATGATTTTGATAGGAGAGCGCAATTTTGTGAGCAGTTGCAACAATTTTGCAACTACGACGAAGATTTCGTAAAAACCATATTTTTTTTTCGCCGAGGCAACATTTATATTTAGTGGACAAGTAAATAAACAAAAGTGGCGGTATTGGGCTATCCAAAATTCCCATTGGGCAAGAAAGTCGCACCCCCAACATCTGCAAAAGATCAAGGTGAGATGCGGAATAGGACTGGATTACTATCCTGGACCCTTACTTTTTTGAGGGAACCTTAATTGGTGAAAGATATTTAAATTTTTTACAAGGAATGAGATATAACATAGTGAGATCCATAATGTTGACCCAACTCAATTCGAATGGCACTTATTTCTTCAACAAGAAGTCGCGTCACCACACTATGCCGTTTTTGTTCAAGCCAATTAAAACCAATTATTTCCCAATCGATGTATTGGGAGAAGAGGGCCAATTAAGAATTCTGCAAGATCATCAGATTTGTCTCCGCTGGACTTCTTTCTTTAGAAATATATGAAAAGTTTACACCACTAAGTAGACCAAATACTTTGGGTGAACTAAAAATCAGAATCCGAGAAGAAGTTGTCAGTAAGAATATAAAAATCGTCGTATGGATTACTGTTAAGCTTGGCAGGGTACACAATTTGAACATTTAACACAATGTTAATGGCTTCTATTTTTATTATTTCAAGCAGATTTGAAGTAAGTGACCTTCGAGCGGGCTTTTCCCCATTATTATACATACATTATTATATTCACTCGGATGGAAAATTATCTTTCGAACTGTGGATATGCTAAAGACTAAAGTATTATCTTATATCTGTATTGTTACCCTTTCCTTTATAAATTTTATTTTTCTGGTCAGCTCAGTTATCATGAATAGCAATATAATTGCAGAATTAAGTTTCACCATATGACATGACCGGAAATCCACATTGCCCACCAGTTATTAATTACTAATTACCTACTGATTCATTGTATTACGTATCAGGTTATTAAATCAATTTATTTACTATATAATGAAATGAATAAAGAATTGTTTTTAAGAATCCATTTTTATTCACACGAAGAATTGGTTAATACTATACAACATGGTTCAAATTTGAATCGGAAAACTTTACTAGGACATAGCCCTTACCAAAATAAAACAAGTTTTTTATATAAACATGGGGTCAAATCTTTTGTTTTCGAGCTATGAGTGATCAAAGTTGAGCCAAAGATTCACACTTTATTTTTTATTTCGGCTATAAGTAAACGGTAAAATTTGAAAATTTGTAGGTATTTACTACTGGTAACACCTTATTTTCAAACAAGGGGATAAAATTTACTACCACTTTGAATTTTTCATAAGAACTTTTTAACACAATGTATCACGAAAAAATATGAGTTGTAAAGCTCATTCTTTAATTTGTTTCTTTAGTTTTTCCTTAAAGATAATAGTTTTAATAGATTTTGAGTAAAAAAATAAAATATCGTGGGATGTACCGCTATGTGTCATGTTTAGCTAAAATTGTTCTAGAAGTTGGCTATGAACTTCATTTCATTTACGTTGAATCCTCACGTTGAATCCCTACGTTGATAATTATTAGTATTTTTTGACTGTTATTAAGCAAAGCTATCATTTTTTTAATATTGTTTAAAACAACGTAATTTGTTCATGTAGACATTAATTTTATTTTATGTTTATATAAAAAATTTGTGTTATTTGGCAAGTAGTACTGCGTCCTAGTAAAATTTCCCGATTAGAATCTGAACCACCCTGTATATCAGTTATTAACTTTCTTTCGTTCACACAATAAACGCGTACATCAAAGGAACGGTAATATACAATTCATCAATTCAATGATCTTTTTCGTTAAATTTATGTACGTTTAGGTTCATTGAATAGTTTAAAACACAATTTGATATAAATCATTTTAGTGGATAAATATAAATTTGAGTTTATTTATTTAGTTTTTTACTGTTATTACAGAGGCTTTCAGTTTAAAAATTTACTGTTTAAATCATCTACTTTATAAACGCGTATAATTATTATATTCTCACCTGAGTATAAACCAATGGCACACAAACTGTATCATATCCGATTAAAGCACCCAAACGTCTTCTTATATCAGATAATTCTATCAGTAATGTTTGCACGATATGATCACTGGTTATAACCGATTCTTTTCGAGCTCTGTTAATTATATTCGTCGCCCAAACCAATGGCATCCAGTATTTTGACATTGGCGTTTTTCCATCCATTAGTTCGAAAATCTTTCTTTCACTTTCCAACATCAAACCTAAAAACATAATTAACAAATCATAAACATTTTGAAAAATTGAAAGTTATTAAAAGAATTTATTTTCATATTCTAGAAATCTACCAGCACAATTAGAGCATTAAAGCATATACGTCACAATATATAAAAACTACATATAAATTTCTAGAAATTTCGTAAAAAAACCCGCACAAACATTTACGATAAAACATTTGTAGTACCCGATATAATTAGATCAGTGTTATACATCAAGTATTTCATCGTAACTAGGTCAAGCGATCGGTCATTATTGCACAATTAAAGATCGATCGAAGATAAAAAATATTTTTCGAAAGGTTTGCGTCTAGATCTACTGTTAAACTCTATGAGGTGATTCGATGTCGGTTTTACGTGCGCTTCGGAGGTTGACAACCTCTTGAAGCGCGCACCATTGATGAAAGTAACTCGCGTCATTTTCCATTGAATACATTAAACGAACATGTAAAAGTGCCCGAGACGACTCGTACGTGCTATAATGTACGGTATCCTGTGCTTATTTTTTATTCAGAACGAGAGCCACCTTAGCAACATGTAGCCTATGGTCTACAAGAAGGTGATGGTTCGGGTATAAATTAAAACCATTAATTAAAATGCCAATAAATCCCCTTTTTAATTCTTCTGTAATAATTTTTTTTGAAAGAATAAAAATTATTTTAAAACATTAAAGCATTTACGCGATTTAGGCAGGCACATGTGTGTTAAAAATAAATATGCTCCATTCCCATTTTCTAATTACCAAAATTACAGGTCTGACTGAACTTTCAACTAAATACGTCATCAGAAGTGACACTATGTGAACACCTATCGAGTATTCTTTATATAAAATTGAACTTTAAACAAATGTTAAATAATAATCTATTGTATACGGCTTTAAACAAAACTCAAATATAAAATTATTATTAAATTGCGATACCGTTAGTGGCTATTTAGCTAACCACACACGCTTATTGATTCCCGTGGAAAAAATGCGAATTTCGAAGGAAAGTATGCATAATAATGCGATTTTAGAAATCCGCCTTAATACAATCTTAAAAATGTTATTGACACGTAGTACCCCATTGTGCGGCAAATTAAAGACAAAAACTTCGTATGCAATATAAAAAACGAGAATATGCTGACCTTGTTAAAATTTTAAAACAATTCGATGTTGAAGTAAAGCAAAGATCAATAAAGTTAAAAATTCAGTCTAAATGTTGATATTTTCAGAAATAATTAAAAAAATATGCGTCTTAACAATGGTATTTGTTGATGATTTTATATTATATTCTTCATTTGAAAACTTAAAAAAAACTAATTCTAATTTTAACGGGGTAAATTCTCTAAATTTATTTACCATATTTGAAAAAAAATATAACATGATTTTTTCGGAGTAAAAGGTATTTATTGTATAGTACAGCTCCGTGTAAAACAATATACCATTTCCATATTTACAGTATAATATATTTTAAATTAAGTAAAATTTTTGAGATAATTTAACTTAATTTCTTTTTTAATACATATATGTTTAAAATATGAACAATAAAAATATAAATCCAAAAAAAAACGAAAAATAAATTAACATTACAGATATTTAGACAAAACCTTAGATCCCGAACCATAAATGTACGTAGAGGCATTATTAATAAAAGAAAAAATTAATAATAATACAGCATTAAACCAATTTATCTGTAGATTTAACTGAGTTAAAAAATATGTCACAAATCATCCCTTTTTTATATCTTCTTCTTCTTTTTCTATTTCTTGTGATGAACATCACTAGCTATCTTTCCATCTTTTTGGAGGTTGTTTTTAGATACTAGCCTGCAATCTCTGGCAATTCTTGTATTTATTTATTTATTTATTAATACAGCTAACAGGCAACAAAGGACTAAATACAAGCTGCAAACAGCATACTTAAATATAAACAAAACAATTTGTGCTGTGGTTAAGAAGAAAAAAAATAACATAAACTCAAAGAACTCACGCTCATGTGTATAAAGCCGAACAATAAAAATAAAAAAATATAAACATAATAAAAATAAAATTCACCGTGGCCCCGGGTGACCTCGCATCTCAAATGTACCGTTTAGAAGATTTCTCCGTAATTCACGAATAGTTATTCCAAATATATCCATACCGACAACACTGTCAGCAAGTCATGACTCCACGCATCGGCGAATAAAAGTGATAATTCGTCGCAGACACCCTCAAAGCAAATATTAACACACTTCGGTGGCTATATTTCGGAACGTTTATATTTATAATTGATAATAAATATGGTGCATCTATTCTGGAGTGAATTGTTATGCAAAAAAATAATTCAGTGTACTTTGTTCGTCTCTCACCAAAAGAAGACAGTCCAAATTCAATAAGTAAGCGTCGAAAGGAAATTGCGAAAGTGTAAATACCATGTTTTTTAAAATAAAGGTATTTCAAAAACTTTTTCAGTACTAGCTCAATTGCATCACAATGTATCCTGTAGTACGGAGACCACACTACGCTAGCGTACTCCAAATGTGGTCCCACATACGCGTTAAACAATTTTATTAATGATGTTGTCGTTTTGAATTGAAATAAATTGCGCAATATGTAACCTAACATTCGATTGCCCTGCTTCACACAATGCAAAATATGATCCCTGAATGTCAATTGAGCACCAATAATGACTCCCAAATCTTTAAAAGACGTTTTTTTCTCCAATGAAGAATTTTTAATATTATAAAGGAATTCAACTGGACTTCTGGTTCTGGTGAAAGACACATAAAAGCATTTATTTATATTCAACTTCAATAAGTTATTATTCGCCCACACGGTCACCGAATTAATGTCTTCCTGCAACAGAAGGCAATCCCTAACGCAGGAGACAGGGCGGAAAACTTTAAAATCGTCCGCAAATACCAAACATTTGCTATGACGAATACATTCCGGCAAATCATTGATAAAAATTAGGAACAACAATGGTCCCAAATTAGAGCCCTGGGGTACCCCAGAAGTGGCAGTATATATGCGTGACTTATAATTATTAAACACCACATGCTGTTCTCGCATACACAAATATGAGGACATGACCCCAAGCAAGTGATTCGACAATCCCAACCTTTCCAACTTCCTGATCAATGTATCATGATGAACCGTGTCGAACGCCTTCGCAAAATCCATATAAACGACTTCCAATTGCTGTCCTGAGTTCATTGCCTCAGCCGCATCATGCGTCAAAGAAACCAAATTGATTACCGTAGAGCGGTGCGGGACGAATCCATGCTGTGATATGCTTAAACACGGTTTAAAATGATGCCAGAGATGTTTATATACAGGGTGTATCTAAATTCTTTAGGCAATTTTAAGGGTACTTTAATATATAAACCATGGGTGACTTCGGGTCCCCTATGGAGCTACACCCCTCCAAAAATGGCGGAAAATTTTGGTTTAATTTATTTTTCTCGAGAACTATAAACACCAGGAAAATGAAATTTGGGGAATATGTTTAACTCATAACAGGGCACGTTTTGACCCTATTTGTACTTTCAAGCTACCCTTCTAAACTACTAAATGTAACCACCCCCTCTACATTTTTGCTAACATTCTTTTTATGCAGATGATAAGTACATTAGAAAAATTTTACATAGGTAAATGAAACTATCCTAAAACTTTTTTGTCTCTCTAAAATTTTTCCAAAAACGACTAATTTTTGAGAAAAAAAAAATAATAAAGTAAACACTGCCCGTTAAACAACGGGGTTGTCGATCAAAAGTTGGAATGAATTTTTAATGAAAAAATCTTAGTAGGCTTTGCAATCTTCACAGAAATATTTTTGACGTTTAAATGTGAGTGTTTTTCTTACTTATTAGTAAATTAGTAGTTTCTAGTTTAGAAGGGTAGGTTGAAAGTACAAATAGGGTCAAAACGTGCCCTATTATGAGTTAAACATATACCCCAAATTTCATTCATGCAGTCATTCAGATACACCTGTATATGCAGGTATTCCATCCGTACCTGTGGCTCGTTTTGGCGCTAGTGATCGAATGCTATCTAGCACATCGTCAACTGTGATTTTCCTGATATAAAAATTACCAACCGAACTCTCCTGAAATTTATCTATAATATACGATGAAGGAGCACTCGTATACACGGACCCGAAATGAGAAGCTAAGGCGTTTGCCACATCATCACCATCCTCCAATACCAAACGGTTATACTTCATAGTATTGGGTAATACGGATTGATTTTTATTTGATTTTACAAACGATAACATCATTTTGAATACTGTTTTCTATATTTAGAACATAGTCTTTATAAGCTTGGGTTATATCCAATTTAATTTTAGATCTTAAAAGTGTATACATTTGTTAAATATATGCATTAGTCGTATTCTTCAACTGTTTTCGAAGCCTATGTTTCCTTTTAATTTTTTGTATAATATCTGATGAAACCAGGGTGGATATGAATATTTTTAGAATGTATTTTTGGAACAAAGCTATTTAAAACATTATAAAGTTTATCATAAAATATTTCTACAGCAATATTAACATTCAATTTCCTCTAATTCCCACTCAAGATTTTGCAATGCTGTATACAGGGTGAGACAGAAAGAATGGGAAATCCGAAAACCGGAGATACTAGACAGCAAAATGTGATGATTTAACGTAACATCTCTTATACAAATGTCAGTGGTTTTCGAGGCATAGGGTGTTGAAAGTTAAATTCTTATTTCGAAATTTCCTGATAATTTTGAAGGTTTTTGTACTATTAACATAAAATTTGGTAGTTTTATGTTTTCGAGCATGAGAAATACGAATTTTAAACTTGTTTTGTTATTGCTCATAGAGAGCGCTAGATACACATAATCATAAGTTTTTTTGGCTCGACAGCTACGACCAATAAGAGCTGCAAATGACAAAGAGCATTCAATTTTACATAAAAAAAGGTACTCTTATTGAAATTGTCTAAGTCTATCGGTTTTCGAATTATTTACTTTTAAATGTTTAAATATATTTTTTCTTCTA